AATGCAACCATTAGCTGAATGTACTATCAATAAAATCCTGGATCGCAAGTACTCACCTTAATATTTAAAAAAAAAAAAAAAAAAAAAAGATAGAGTAGTTATTTTTTCAAAGTTGTTTTTTAAAAGTATTGTATTTGAGATGCTGAATAAATATAGGCTCTAATGGTTGATAACCATTATAAATTATATTAGGCCACAAGACATTAGAGTTTGCTAAAATTAAAATATCCAAGTGCTATAAAAGTTATATAATTTTAAAGTTAAGTATAAGTTTGTTAGGTCTATCAATAAGTGGTTGGTTGTGCTAAAGAATGTTAGTAGCAGACCAAAGCTTATTTTGGAGTTGTTGTAATCTAATTTTTGTAAAAATGCCAAGTGTTTTTAGGTCATTAATTCTTTGTTAAAAGCAGGATACATGATGTTATAACTTGATGTTCTAAATATTATATATATTATATATATAAGGGTTTAGCATAATACTGTTAGAACTAGTATGAGAATGTTTGGCTTTATGTTTAATCATAGTAAGGTATTTGGATAGAATGTTGTTACAAATAAAGTGTTTAAGAATTATATTGTATAATCTGTATTTAATAGTAGAAATAATTACAATATTGATAATATATATAGTTTATTTTTTGTAATTCTTTTGATGTCTGTAATGTTAATAAGTTGAATTGCTTTATCATAAATTAATTGGCTTTGTTTTGTATGAGAGTTATTAAGAGTAAACTAGCATTCTAAAAATTTAAATAACTAGTTGGCAAAAGTAGATATAAGTGATGAATTAAAAAAGTAAATAGAAGCTATAGATAAGATGTTTGTAATAAGAATTAATTTAGTTGAATTGATTTGTATGTCAGCCATATAGTAAAAGAAAGTGGCTGTGACAATGATTGTTTGTAATTCTTTTTAGGATTTGGCTATCCAAAGTGTATCATTTATATATGCTAATACAAATACTGAGGTTTAAAGTTGTTGAGACTTTGGTTGAAGCAAACTAGTGTTCTACTTTGTAGCCAAAGTGTATCCTAAAAAGTCTAAGGCTATTTTGTTAATTAAAGGATTATAATAGATTTTTTAAAATAAAAAGTTATGGTTTCTTCTTGGTCAATGCTATTTTTAACAGTATATAAATTAGTAAAATCTAAATTTGTAATAACTCGATTATATCAATTAGTAAGCAAGTTGGTAAGAATATTAATAAGATTAAATAGCATATTTAGATATAATAAGAATTTGGTAAAAAATATTAGATCTACAGAGTCATAAGCTTTGCTTATATTCTAAGATAAAAACTAAAGCTGTTTAGAATTACAAGAAGCTTCTTTAATAACATTGTTAAGAATATATATAGAAATAGTTATGCTATTACTAGATAGAGCTATATAGTTAAAAGGAAATAAAATTTTGTAATAAGTAAAGATGTAGTTAAGTTAGTTGGTAAAAAGTTTGATATAAAGTTTTTTAACATATTCAAGCAAACTAATAGATCTAATATTAGTTAGATTGTTATCAAAAATAGGCTTTTTGAAAATAGAAAAAATTTTATCTTTCTTTTAGTTTTTTTTTTTTTTTTTTTTAAGGTGACCTCTTTGGTCTTTTGACTTTTATTAATCACTTATCAGTATTGTGGTTCAATGAACCACTACAGGAGAGCATACAATTGGCTACATATGTAACTTTTCTATATTACCTATTTAAGAAGTCTGCTTGAAGGTTCCTTACCAATTGCTATACCTAACACCTCTGCTTGGATGTTCTACTTTAAACCCTCTGAATCTGTAACCTGTGTTAACATCACTGGTCATCTCGATGTACCAGATCATCGTCCTCAACCTTAAAACTAATTTATCCTCAAGGTAAACCTCCTAAAGCCTTCTGTACTCATTTTTACAACTAACCTAGGTATACTATGACAGAACCAACACTTGTGGTTAGGGCTAACCATTAAACTGCTATGCCCTTGTAGAGTTTACTTAGACCCTAGCATCTACTTCACAGCATAACTTCAGTACTTTAGTATACCTCTGCCTTTTGTCTAGCCTTTTTATCAAACTTCCAATTCAGATAGCCCATGTAGGACTACAACCAGTCCATCGGTATATTAGGTTAGCCTGACATTCTTTTCCTTCAGTTTATTCTGACAGCCTGGTTAGTAGTACCTCTGAGCCACCCAACTCAGAGGTTCTTGCCTGTTCGGCTACTACAACCAGGTACTATATCTTGGTATCTATTTCTCTAAGCTAGCCTTTACAGTAGGACCATCAAAGATCCAGCTATCTCTCTACTCAGGTCTTTCCAAATAGACTTCTTGTTACCCAATTTTAATGGATTTACACAGCCACAAGGACTTATTTAGTGTTTGCACTACCCAATTTGTTAGTTTGCATTCCTTTGTGTAATGCTATACTTACACAGATGCCCTATGACCTACCAGTCATGCTAATATAACTACCATTACAGATATCTTAATCCAATCATTAGTAATAGTTGCTATAATACAAATATTACATAGGTGATTATCCAAATTTTCACTGTCGATGGGATTTGAACACCCAACCTACTACTTGGGGGGTTGACAAGCTAACCACTTCACTAGGTCGCCACACCCTTACTACAATATATTATATTATAATTATATAACAATTAATAAATGTAAATTTAAAAAATTCAAACGATCAAATTAATGAAATGCTTTTTATTATAAAATAAGTATCTAAAAATTATATTCCAATTTCCATTTTGATAACAACAACCAACTTGATGTTCTGCTAACATTGTTCATCTTATCAAAATTTTTGATAATTAATGAGTGTCTTATATTAATCCTTTTCAATTCCTATTTTATTATAATAACAATCTGCAGAATTATTTATAGCAAAAAGATTTCCCATCTATGCAGATTTTTTTTATTTTTATAAAAATCTAAAAAGCAATTTTGAGATTTATTACAACAGAGTGATACATTACATATGGCACACTAAAAATTACTTTGGTGTAGAGTCTTATGATCCAAATCCAAGTTTTTTTACTTGCCAACCACACATATTATTGGCATGATTTTTGCTTTTGCTACTCAACTAAATAGTTACTGGGAGCAAACTATTGGTTTGAAAGTTCAAAGTATTTCATCACTTTTGGCTATTTGGTTTTTTTTTTATTTTTTCAATTTTTTTTTTTTTTGATCTACCTCTAAGCTGAATTTCTTCTTTACTACTTGCATTATTTATAAGATCCCATACCAGTTCAAGACAAAAGTTTTTATGCTTCTGAGTAGATTCTAGGATTTGAGTAATAAGATATACATTAATAATGACCATATTTAACAACTAAAAAAAAGTGCCATTCAGATTTTTCATACTACTTGTTGCATACAGTAATATAACCATAGTTAATTTGCAATATCTACACCATTTATATAATAGTTGTAATTATCTATTACTCTAGAAATTCTTAGCTTTTTTTTTGGTTAAGACCCAAACACTATATGCACTTTTGCTGTATTGATGCTTGTTTTTTTCGGCTACCATCTTTCATGTTTAACTTTCCAATATTCATCAACAAAACTATAAATTGTTAATAGCATTGTGATCAGACTATTGTCCTGCCAGAACACAGCCAACATTCTATTTACTGCAACACCAGAACATACATCCTAGTTAAATCAAAGTTTTCTATCTATCTTCAGTTTCTTAGAGAATCTACATGCTATTGTTTAAACAGTACCACAAGTGTCAATGCCAACTTGATAAAGATTCTGAAACAAAAAAACATTAAAAAAGTAGTTATTTTTATAAATATTAAATAGAAATTAACAATATGAAAGTTGCATAACAAAATGATGAACCATGCAGCTAGTTTGGTTAAGCCTTTTTACTTTTTTTATATTATTTAGAGAAACATGTGATGTTAGCAAAAAAGTGAATGTATATCCAGATTCACAAAGCAGCAACACCTTAAACCTTTCTGAAGTTGGTTTGTTCTTAATTTGAATAGTGTAGATGCTTCTTTCAGAAAACCTTATCATCATTTTATCAACTGAGATATTTGAGACTAATATATAAAGTTGTTTAGAAACATCATGAATGTGAAAAAGCAGTGGCTCTACTTTTCGAAGTAATGATTAATATCTGCTGCAAGAAAAGAGATATGAAAGTATCTTTTAATTTGTTCAAAATGTTTTAACAGCATTTGTTTAGAAATATGGTAAATAGGAAGCTTTGGTCCTTATTCCAGTAATTATCAAATGAAGATAGTTTAAAAACTCTCTGATAAATGACAAGAGCAATTCAGGTAAGAAGCTCCTTATGATTTACATTTTTCTATTGTCTTTCAGTAAGGCCAGCACCTTTGATTAATGCATATAAATTCATATTAAGAACAATTTTGTTTAGTAAAATTTTTGTAAAAAAAAGAAAAAAAAGGTTGATCAGTTTTAAGAAACCAACTTCATAATTTGGTGGCAAATTAATAAATGCTTAGTATAAATTTTTTGAATGAACCAATAGTTCAAAATCTGAAGGTGGTGGTGGCAATTTAGGTATGTTTTTTGATTGTTTGTGGCCCTTCTTACTATTGCTTTTAACAACTTCATCTTCTTTTTTGTTGTTTGATTCTAAATAGTTTAAAAAACATTGTCAGAACATCAAAACCAGTATGTACTCTTTATTCTTATTGTTAGAAAATACCTTAGTATCTTCAGGTAAAGGTAAATATAAAAATGAACTTACCTTTGGCATAGTTGTAAATTTTTTTGATTTTTTTTTTAATTTTTTTGCTTTTTAATTAATGGCAATCAAAAGATAATTGCTATACTACTAACATGTGATTGTGATATTATGTACTACCTTTATGTGATATGAAATCATAAATTAATCTGCAAAATAGCAAACTTTGATGCAAGCTTAGGAAAGAGGGTACTATTGCTTAGAAACGTCAAGCACAATTGTACAAAATTAAAAAAAAAAGATTTTAGCAGCCAAATTTAGCTGCTAGACAGTTTAAAGGATAGTTTATAATTTTTAAAAGTCTGATACAGACATACATTTGTGACTATCTAATATTTGTAAATTGCAAGTTTTACATATTTTCTTTTTTCTCATTTATTCTTTTTTTTTTATTTCTTGATTTGTATCTTTTATTATTTATCCATATATCTCTATTTTGTTCTTTACATAAAAATTTTTTTTTATTTTTTGCTTTTCTACAAAAAGATATAATCAGATTAGCGATGTCTTATTGTAGGATAGCAGTTAGATGAACAGTTTATCTCTAACTGAAATAGTGCAGCAAGTCATACTTAGGTACCATTTAGGTGGCTGAATAATGCTAGACTTATATATCAGAAAAATTCTATGTAATTTGTATAGTTTTAAGATTCTAATAAAGTATTAGTGTGATTGCTAAAGTTAAAAAAAAAATATATAATTAAAAATTATAAAACATAATTTAAGATTATTTAATTATAAAAAAAAAACAGAAGTTTAATAAATAAAATAAATTTATATAATTAGTTCATTACTTGTTTTGATAAAAAAAAATTTTACTTTATTTAAAAAAATTAATTTTGATATAATTTTTTATTTAATTGCTAAAATTATTACAATAATAATAAATATTTGATAAAAATATTTGCAAAATGGTTTTTATTAAAAACATTATTAAAAAAATTAAAACTATATTTAAAAAAACAAAAACATTTAAAAATAATAATTATTGAAATAATATTATTTAAAGAGAATGATTATAGTGTAATATGATACAGATTACTTATAAAAATTAGAAGTTTGTAAATATGGCATGCTTATATTTAAAACTTTTTTTATACTAAGTTAATCACCTTTCTCACTTAAACAAAAGGTATAGAGCTTGTTGAGATGCATTTAATAATGGTTAGATTATTCAAATCAGCATAGTAGTTGCTGAGATATCATTAAAAAATGTTATACTAACTATATAAAATTTTATGTAAACAATAATATTGTTTAAATAAAATTTTATATAGTCAGTATAACATTTTTTAATGATATCCCAGCAACTACTAGGCTAATTTGAATAATCTAACCATCATTAGATGCATCTTGATGAGCTCTATAACTTTTATCTAAGTGAGAAAGGTGATTAACTTAGTATAAAAAAAGTTTTATATATAAGCATGTTATATTTACAAACTTCTAATTTCTATAAGTAATCTGCATTATATTACACTATGATCATTTTCTGATTGACTAACAGATCATTAATTAAGATGATAATTCAAATTAGTTATCTGCATTAATTTTAATATTGAAGACTCATTTCAAGTTTTTATATCAATAATTGAAATTAAAACTAATAATTATATTGTATTTATAAGTTATAAAAAATTTAAAAAATATCTTATTAAACAAAATTTAATTAACTTCTTACTAATAATTTATTACAATACTAAACACAAAAGACTAAATAATATCTTGTTCAAGATGAAATTTCATATTTGGTCAACATTTTATAGTTGAAATATAAGCATGTATTACTATTATATTAATAATATATTGGATTTATTAGAAGATATTAATAAAAGAAATATTGTATTAATTAAAAATTACTTAGAAAAAATAAATGAATATATTGAAATATATAATATTAAATACTTATAAAATTGGTTTGACCTTAAAAAATATAATAAAAAATATTTAGCATATTAGTTTTTTTGTTTATATAAATTAATAAATATATTGTTTAAAATATATTTTTATTAAATAGCATTAAAGACAAATATTAAAAATAATGAATATTAAATAAATAATCATTCTAATAAAAAAGAATTTTTTTAAATAAATTATTTTAAAAATAAAAGTAAAGATATCAAATTTTTTTAATATTGTTTACTAAAAGTAAACTAAAAAGAATAATAATAACAATAATTAAATAAAAGAATTACATTTTGTTTAATAATTATTAGAAAATTTTTTGTAAAAAAATAAGTTTTGTAAAATAATTTTTATAAATATGTGAAGAGTTAAATGAATGAATTCATAAAGAAAGAAGATATTTTTATTTAGCTTTTATTAACAAATATTTAATTTTAAAGTAATAATTTATATAATAATTGACAAAATATATTACTTATTTTATTTTTAGTTTAGATTTTATATTGTATATATATTTAATAATTTAATTTTAAATTAGAATTTATGAAGGTGTGGTGACCTAGTAAAGTGGTCAGGTTGTCAACCCCCAAAGTGGTAGATTGGATGTTCAAATTCCATCAACAGTAAAAATTTGGATAATCACCTATGTAATATTCATATTATAGCAACTATTACTAATGATTGGGTTAGAATATCTGTAATGGCAGTTACACCAGTATAACTGGCAGGTCATAGAGCATCTGTGTAAATATGTTGTTATACAGAGGAATGCAAACTGACAAATTAGGCAGTACAAACATTAGATAAGTCCTTGTGGCTATATAAATCTGTTAAAATTGGGTAACAAGAAGTTTATTTGAGAAGAACTGAATAGAGAGGTAGCTGGATCTTTGATGGCCCTAATCGCAAGTATTGGTTCTGCTATAGTGATACCTAGGTCAGCTGTAAAAATAAATACAGAAGGCTTTGGGGGTTTACTTTGAGAATAAATTAGTTCTAAGGTTGAGATGATGATCTGGACATCTGGGTATGATTCAGTAATGTTAATACAGGTTACAAATTTAGAGAGTTTAAAGTGAAACACCTAAGCAAGGGTGTTAGATACAGCAATTGGTAGGAAACCTTTGGGCAGACTTCTTAAATAGGTAATATAGAAAAGTTACATGTGTAGCCAATTATACTCCTGTAGTGGTTTATTGAACCACAATACTAATAAATAATTAATAAAAGTTAAAAAACCAAAGAGGTTACCTTAATACCAAAAAAAAAAAAATTAAAATAAATTAAAATTTATATTAAGATCAGTAACTATGTTATTATTTTATTTTTAGTTTATTATTTATATTGGATCAACAAACTAACTTTTTAGTATATTTACCAAATTAAGAAATCTGATTTAAAAATTTATTTAAATAAAATAAATTACTAAATTAATAAATATACTAATTAAGATTTAAACTTTAATTCATATTAGTAAAGTATACTGATTTTTTATTTAATATAAAAAATAGAATAGAATTTATATGTTCTGAATTAGGAAGTTGTAATAAATTATAGAATAAGAAAATAAAAAAATTTTACAATTACAAGAAATTCAATGTGATAAACAAGTTAACAATATTTGATTTGTTTATTATATTGATTTGAGATTTCTGAATCATTAATATTTTCGATATCATTAATATAGC